ATTTTACTCCCCATTTCACTAGCATTTTCTTGCAAAACACTGCCACTTATGGGAACGTTTTCTTGTCTTTTTTGAGTAAACCACTTAATAAGTCCTTTGTCAACCTTTTCATGTGCAGATAATTTTAACTTCCTACATCTAACATTTGTTTTGTCATACGCTGATAAAATGTTTTCTCTGTTTTTCCACATTGTTGCAACAGTAGACTTTCCAAGGGCTAATTCGTTACAAATGTCACTCTGCTTTACTCCCCTTTTTATTTTGTTAATAATCTCGTACTTTTCATTTAGTGAAAAAGCTTTGCGTTTTTGTTTTTCCATTCTAAAATGATTTACATACATAACGCAGCAAAAAACAAGTCACTGCCTGTTTCTCGCTCTCACTAATTTAAACAACTCCGCACGATTGGTGTTGCTGAGCGTGGAAGTTCGTTATAAACGGAAAGTGAATATACAACTAACCTAAAAAGTGATTGTTATATCCGGAAGTTCGTTATAACCAGTAAAAAATACGTTGGTCTTTATGGACGTTTCAATTAAAGGAAAAAATTTCGTTTTAACCGAAAGTTCACTATAACCGGGTTCATTATAAGCGGACTTTACTGTATAGTAAAAATGAGCGTAAATATACTTGCCGCTTTTCTATCAGATACATTTTTGCCAAAAAGTGTTTGGTGACCGTGCTACTAGTTGCCGTTAATTATTCAAGCTAGTGCATTTTAAGTGAAAGTGAAAGAAAAGTCAAACTAGACTTTGAAATCGCACTGGTTTTATTGGAAGTTTTATCTATTTTATTATTTTTACGTAGGTCAGAACCAACACCCCAATTTCTTCAAACAGCTCTAGGCTTATATTCCGATGACTTGACGGGCCTAGTTTTAATGACGGATAATAAAATAGGATCCAGATTATCCCAAGGCTTTCAAGAGGTGTGCCAGAGAACAACGGAATTTCATTTCCCACACATTGAAGAACAACTAGACAGAATTTCTGACGTTGCAAATAAATACTTAAAAAACCCCCAGCCACAAACATCTAGAAATGCAAATAGTGAACTTCTGGAGCGTGGCGATTTTTACTTGACAAGTCATTCTAATCTAGCTCAAGTACATGTAATTTTTCATATAGTTACAGATGATAGTCTGAAGGGAAGCGACATAAACAGTAGGCATCCCGTTGTATTAGGACTCAGGCATATTTTGAAAACGGCCTGCGCAAATGACATTACATCTTTAACTATACCATTACTACTTCAATATGAAATGACTGAGGTAAGCACTGCATAATTAGAACCATGATGTGGCTAGAAACGTTGTTTTAGGATATGACTATCAACTGGTGTGAAAAAAGAGCCGAACTGGTTTTCAAATGCGTGAAGGGATTTATGATTGAAATGGCATCTTGGGGTGGATCCGAACTTAAAAATCTTCAGTTTATGCTTCCAGAGGTACTTTGTGATTTTATTAATTTAAACAATATTGTTATTTCGATTACGTTCAGGGGATTTCAAGTGGAGTTTTCACGTCAATGACAGAGATGCTGCCAAGAATTTTCAAGGTGTGTAATCCAAAAATACTGAATTAGATCGTAAAGATAGATTATAATTTTTTTAACATTCACATTTATTGTCTTATATTCGATACGGAATTGCAGGGCATAATGCCATAAAAATCGCAAGCACCAGAAAATCATGAATTGTAGATCGTAATAAATAACTGTTTAATAATCCTTTTAATCTGACTGGACAACACTGACTAAGCCCGAGCCACGTCATCAAACAAGCCCGAAATTTCAAACTCTTAAGCATCTTAGCATTATCCCAATTCACATTGAGTTGGTTTACTCTCATAAGTGTTTCCGATTTTCTTTATGAAAAGAATGTACCTTTTGCGAATGAGCAGTCAACCTGATTTATGAGCTTTGAAACAGTTCCTGTCCTTTAGTAAGAAGAATATTTATACTTTCTCTAAAACAAACAAGTATCACATTAATGCAATTTTTAATTAAACCAGAATCACACAAAAAGTTTCCAATTTGGTATGCCTTAACACCGATTTTATTTGTTTGAATTTTAAACAAAAAAGTAACTAAAAATGCAAATACGTTTTTAAGGATGGGAAAATCTAAAAATAAACTTCTTTTAAAGTCTCGAGGCTACGTTCTTTGCAGATTTTTTTATAAAAATATTGTCTATGTTCTTAAACACATCTTTGGCTGCTTGAGCAGCGTCGACGCGGTAATGAATACCTCTAATTTGATAATAATCCACCAGAGGTTTGGTCTGGTTATGATATGTTGCCAATCTCTTCTTTAAAGCCTCTACATTATCATCAGAGCGTTTGATCAAAGGTTCTCCAGTTATATCATCTGTCAAGGGTTTTTTTGGTGGTGCAAACTCCTCATGATATGATCTGCCACTTGCTGGATGAATCAGACGCCCAGTGATTCGGCGAAACAATAGACTGTCCTCAATTCCAAATTCAACAACTGCATCAAGTTGCGTATTTCTTTTATCCAACAAATTATCAAGCTAAAATATGTGAAATTAGTGACCAGACGTTATATACCTACGATAAACTAGATTATGTTATTATTGCAGCAGTACAATTTATCAATGTTTATAAAAGGGCTGATTTAAAAAAATTGAATTTCATATGTGACATCAGCAAGCAACAGAGGATTCCTTTTCGAATCTATTGGCCTCGTTAGCTGGATTTCGCATTCAAATGAGACTTAAATGCCTGCAGTCATATTGCTTTATAAAATTCTTTTAAGAAGCGGCCTAATATTTATGAACATTATTGAAAATTACGGAATGGCTCAAAGACTTAGTTTTACGAAAATAGTTAGATTTCTAGACAATGGTGAAAGCAGAAACAGAATATTTTTGGAAACTTTATTTTCATACGTTCGATTTCACCCCAATGCATAGTTGAAAAAATCCTATGCTCTCCTTAGATTCCTATAGGTTTCTAACGACTTAATGCGATCTGAACATTTATTGAACTCTTTTGTACCGGTTTTGCTTTAGTTGGTTATTTTACTTTTATGTTTCTCTAGGACTTTCCTTACATTTACACATCAGCCGAGCCACTTTCCGGAGTTGAGTTGCCCCCAATATGTAATATATTAGTTATTTCTACAAGTTCTCTTGAGATCTTTCCCTGAGTACAGGATGATTACAGTACGTTTAAAAATGTTTCAGTAATAGTTGGTTTCCAAAAAATCTCTGCACAAGGCCCTTCTTCTAAAGCTGTTGACAAATATTCTAAATTGCAAGATTCAAGGTTCTACTGACATGTTGGGGATAACGTTGATAAATAAATCGTATTTTGGGGCTTAAGCTTGGGTTCAATTGTAATACAGTGTCAATATAGGAAACGTTCGTATGTTTATGACATTTACAAATTGTATAAAGTAAATGAAAGCAGGTGCCGTTTGCGCGAAGAATTTAAATCGAGAAATTTCCTTTTGCAACATCTAAACCAAGTAAGACAAACATGAAGATCAAGAAGACGCCATATCAATTCAAATCAACAAACGATTAAATAAAAATGCATAAAAAAAGCATCCCGTTTTTTAAAAACGATATATAACGTAGATAAAATGGGGGCCTAGTTGAACATGATAACCTTATGATAAAAGAGCAGTATTTTAAAAACGTAACACCTGAAAAAAATGGCGAGAAGCTAAAAAAATTATATTTGTCGAATGATTCTCATAGAACACTAGGTGATATTTCTCGATATCAAGACACGTTGTCAAACAGTTCGAACAAATCAAATTTATAATTCTTGAATGCTGTTATAGAGTTGATACTCGTGATTTTACATCATGTATCGTTTGTGATTCATATTAACTGGAAAGTGTATCATATTGCGAAAACATTAACCTTTTCAGCTTGCACCACAGTTCTAGGAAATCCGTCAAGGAGGAATCCATTTTTACATTCTGGCTTATCCAGATTCTTGTCGATCATATTAACGACCAAATCGTCGCTAACCAACTTTCCTTCATCCATGACCTTTTTAAGCCTGGATCCCAATTCGGATCCGGAAGATATTTCAGCTCGTAACATATCTCCTGTTGAAAGATGGCAAACGCAAAATTTATCTTTCAACCAAGCCGCCTGTAAAACATATTTCCTCTTAGGGCCTCTGAGTTTTATTTGACGCTACAAAGCTTACCATCGTTCCTTTGCCTGAACCAGGGGGCCCTAAAAGCACCGCCTTAACTCCATCATTTGAAGTGGCTGGGCTGCTTTCAGTTATTGGTTTTTTCTGTGCTGCCAAATGTGCCATTTTAAAAAACGATCTCAGAACCCTAAGTACCTGCTTGAATGTTATTACATAAATGACAAGACGACCTCCAAAAACTGATAAGAATTTCAATTTACATTAGAAGGGAAAATTAAATAATCATAACCTAAAAATGTTACTTGCGCTTAGAGGTCAGCCTTGCGCATGTCTTCCCATTTGCAGAGCTATCAACAGTATCGATACTATTGAAAAACAATCGACATTATTTTCATAAGTTGGAGCGCTGTATATTAAAAAATTAATTGAAAAATTTCTTCACAAAAAGGTTTCTTTCGTCCTTTGCCTTTTCCATTTGAAACCATCAACACATTTTGGGATGCGTTGCAACAGACAAATTGGCACGGACTTTGAAAGCGCTGTTATCAATACTATTTAGGCAACTTAATGGATATTATTTCAATATGCTCCTTCGATTTGCTTTACAAAAACTAGATTTTCAAACTGCGCGCCATTTACGGGAGCCAGAGCTTTCAAGACCTTCGCATATTAAAATATCGGTGCTACAGCTAGACGCGCGTTACAGAAGACACCAAGCACACCAATACAGCAGGGTGGATTCGTATGGTAATTTGGGCAATTGTCTCTTTTCATGTATGAGACTATGGGGGACTTTTTTTGTCACCAGCCATGTCGTCAGCCTTCAATCTGGATTTATGGAATCCAGATTGAAGAGCTTTTTTGTTTTCTGGACCTTTCTGATTCAAAATCTCTGGTACGGTAAAATACGGTATTTTCAAATGGCTTGTACGGTAATACGCGTTTGAAAAGTTGGCCACCCTGCACCACACAGCATCAACACCATAGATAAAGACCGCTGTGGCGACTAGGGTATAGCACTATAAAAATACAGCAGACTCGTCCGCCATTGTGGAGCCCAATTTCTGACCTTCTTCATGTATTTGTAATATGGTGCTATTGAGTTTTCTTTTAATTTCGAAAATATGACTAGTTGTTTAAGTCCCAACTGCAGCAATCATTCAAGAAATGATTTTAAATTTTGTAGAGATGTATTATGTTGATAGAAAGTCTCAATTTAGTATAAAAATCTAATTTATTTTAAGATTATTATTGTGATGACTTACATATTTAAAATTACTTAATTACTTTAAAACATATATGTATATCGGTTGATTGGCTTTAGAATCAATCATCAATTAGTTAAATTTGCTACTTGCTTTATCACCATATCCTATATTCTCACTTTCTGTCATAGTTCTAGAACTGCAAGGAACATCTAGCTTTATACGTTTGGGTGGATTTTCTGT